AATTAGCCTATGTGTTCTTCCAGAATATCCTCTACTTCTATACCAAATTTCATAGAAATCCGTTCAGCCGTTTAGGCTACAAACTCTGACAAACATCCATCCATCTAAACTTTCGCATTTATAATATTAGTATGATAAATGTGAAAGTTTAGATGAATGGATGGATGTTTAATTGATCTCCATAAAGTTTAGTATAACGTGTAGAGTGTAGTCTTTAAGAACACTAAGCTACTTACTTTTGTTATTTAATTCCTTAAGAACGGATTCGCGGGCGAAAACTAGTTTTAACATAATAAAAAATATAATTTTACAAAAGCGTTTTATGCCCATAATTAAGAGGGGGCTGGGTTACTTAAAACTCTTTTTTATTATTCCAAAGCGAATGGTTGTAAATAGATGTTTCGAGTTTTGTATAACTAATTTATGTCAATTTTTCTTTTTTTTTAACACTTATTACCAATATTAAATCTTTTAGCTAAATCATTTATTTTATTATGGTATATTTACTGATATTATTTTATTGCAGGTAAAAAACCATGCGGCGTCGTGGCCGTTCCTTAAACCTGTAGATAAAAGCGAAGTTCCAGACTACTACGATCATATCAAATATCCTATGGGTAAATATTTCATGTCCATTTAGCTTTAAAATCAACACTAAAGGATTACTTAACTAATGATTTATCAATTCAACTGGAAATTACAAAAAAATATATACTCTACAATACTCAAAAGTTCCTCTATGAAAAATTTAAAACTAATAAATTCTACTGAAAATTTATATTTTTTTTAATAAAGATTTTGCTAATATAGCACAGATATCTTTAAAATATGATTTTTATGTGTTTATAGATTTACGTACGATGGGCGAGCGGCTGAAGTCCCGCTACTATGTGTCCAAGCGACTGTTTATTGCGGACATGACGCGCATATTTACTAACTGCAGGCTCTATAACTCTCCTGATACTGATTATTATAGGTATATTATTATACGTTTTAATTTATTTTTTCTGCAATTTTTGATATTTAAATCGATTTAAGGTGTGTTTCCGAACGGAACACCGATTGGCTCAATTTTTTTTCTCATTGTGCCAGGTTCTGTAGATTGTTATGGATTCTAACACATAATTTAAGTTTTAAACTATCTTAAACTTTGGAAATATCGTTGAATAACTTGTAAAATATTAAAAGCAGTTACAACCGGAAATGCAAAAAAAAACTTCTAGAAATTTGTCCAGTTTTAAGTCAAGTAGACTATTAAACAAAATGATAACAAGAAGCCTGCATGATGTATGGATAATGTATAGAAGTCGAACTGAGAAATGCATACTTTCATATATTCGATATTTGTATTCTAATATTTTTTATTTACTTACAGATGTGCAAATCTCTTGGAGAAGTATTTTCAAACGAAGATGAAAGAAGCTGGTTTGTGGGACAAATGATTGGAGTTTGTGAAGTCACAGATACATTATGTATTAATTTTATATAACAAAATAGTGAGTTTTAAATTATACTAATTTTGTGGTTAATACTAAGCTAATGCTATGTCAAAGCTTATTTGTAACATGTCTACGTTTTAAATATATCTTTGACTAGCTGTTCCCGTGCGGCTTCATCCGCATGAAATCATGAAAATTTTATTTTGTTGTTTACATGTCAAATTATCAATAGCAAATGTCAAAATGACATGACATTACAAACTTTGGCAATCTTGCTTCCTTGATGTTGGCAGCAACTTATGGTCTCTTTTCCACATAAGGGTTTTTATCCAAAATATTTACCCTATAAGGTCAATGGCGTCAAAATGTATAGCCTATAGCGTGACGTAAGTGTAGAGTTTTTTTATTAAAAGAAGAACAAAGAAGTGTGTGTTTACGCCTTATTATAATAGTATAGATGTGTTAAAAATCGCTGGATAAAAACATTTAAACACAAGACATTATATTAGTTTTTTTTAATATCCAAGTAATAAATTTCCCCCTGTTTAACCTTGTTCAGTTATTTTTTGTATATACTATGTTCTGATTGATAAGACTTGGAAGAATCTTGAATTTAAAAAAAGATGATGAAATGAAATTGTATTTTGGTGTTTATTATTATTAATATTTACCACTGGTTTTGTTACTAATTTGTAAATATTTCTCTGTATATATAAGTTGTTTGTCATACAATACGTAATAAAATTTTCTCAAAGTTCGTTTTTTGTGTCATTCTACAAAAACAAAATAAATTTTCATCTACACTCAAAGATATTGCCATTTATACTAAACCACCTTTTTAAACCACTTCACACTTCCACTTTCACATACTCTCATTAGGAAATGACGGGGAGGGGAAGTGAATTTGGCGCATTAAAGGAATCAAGGGAAGAGGAAATATTTTCGGATAATTATATAAATATGAAGCGACTGTCCGTTTATCTATTTTAGGTAGAAGTCTAGAGAAATCTAAAAAGACATTTAAAAAATAACTGCATTTAAGATTATGTCCGTGATGTATAACTATGGCGTACTTTCACGTCTTTTTATTTTAAGCAGTTTTAAGCAATTTAAATAAATATAGAATAAAATTTTCTCTTCTTTACTGGATTGAAATGAATGTTAAATGAAATTGGTTTTTGTTTCTCTCAAGGTAAGGTACATTTAATCTGTAGAGTAGGAATGAAGAAAATGTTGCCCAAGGTGTCTTATTTCAGTAGGTAATAAAACGCAAATACTTTCAATACTGTATTGGTTTTTTATTAACATTTTGATGTACACTCGGGGTACGAACATTTTTATTTAGGGAATGTAAATACATATTTTACATAAGTTGATATAATAAAGTACATACCAGTCTCCTTGTTAATATAAAATCCGATGGATTCCGCATAAGTACCTACAGCTTGAAGCGGTAACTTAAATGCTTAACTTAAAGTAAATAATTAAAAACTTAATTAAGAACGAATGACAATTTAGTGAAATCATTCGATTAAAACCGATTACAGCTTTGGTTGATAAGTGGGCGCGATATAAAATAAAAATACACAGTTATAAAAAGAACAAAAAAAGCGAAATAACTAGTTAGTTATTCGGACTAGATTTTTTTTTATCTATTTTCTTAGAGCCATATTAATGTAAACAGTCTAGCCTACACCTAGCTCAACATAGTGAAATGTTTTACACACAAAAGTAATTAAAACACATTGTTATTGCATATTTGACAAAATTAAGTTTTTTTTTACCTTTTTCCTAAACGAATATAATTTCATTTTACTTAAATTAGGCGTAACGAAGATGATATTAAGAACTACAAACCATTTCAAAATATTGAAGAAAATATATATCATCAAAACTCAAAAGATAATTTGATACAATTACATGCTTTAAAACATTTTTTTTTACTTTAGTATTTATGTATTTCAGTTATTTCATGAGTTAAAAATAAAACGTAAGGTTTGATGCCAAGATATAGCAAAATGAATAACTACTGCAGTCACGAGTCGTTAAATGATCACTAAAGGATGCTTAATTGACTATTTAAACAACTCTGGGTGGTAAATGTAAGAACGTTATATCTATGGACGGAAAACCTTTCTCCAAAGACAAACGTTTAGTTCCTCACACCACAACCGATACACTCTTAATAAAATATCACTTAAATATAGCTGAATTAAAAATATATATTCAGAAACAAATTAAATCTTAATTTTAATGTATGGATATCTTAACTATAGAAAAACATTTAAATTTCACTTTAGTAGCTTGTAATTCATAGCAAATACTACTGAAACTTGTTTAAAATGTTTGGTAAAGTATATATTTTAGTAAATAATTCATATTTACACATTTTAAGAAAAATCATTGTTACAAAAAGTATGGTCCTTCGAGCCGGACTTTAGAGATCTTAATGTCTTTATAATTTAGATATTCCAATAGTATTGATTTTTTTTTTATCAAATTAGACATAAACATTTACAAGTTGAATGATTGTCCACATTGTGAAATGATTTAGGAGACATGTATGAGATCGTTCAAACGAATTTAGCACTTAAGTACAACATGACAACGGCTCATAATCCCTTGCGAATGGCATACAGTGTGTCACATCAACACTATTTCGTTGACTAGGCGGAGTCGCGATGTTTCCTAACTAATTATAACTAAAAACTTATATAATTATGTCCATTTTCATACAAAAAATATCACTTGTACATCTACCGTCACTGGAGCCCGTATGATTTAGGGGATATTTTTTTTTTAACTTTTTTTGAGTATTTTTTTAGTTTGTTAAACTTAACTACGACGTGATAATTCATTAATGAACACATAACGTCTCACTGTTCACTCACTTGAACTACGTACAAATTGCCATTGTTGGTATGTTTGCCAAATCGATCCAAATGTTTGGTCCTTGGTCTGTCAGCGAAATTCATTTTATTGGTCCTTAGTATCTCGTCAAGTTAAAAAGACAAAATTCTGTCCCATTCTCTGTTATTGCTTGTAGTTCGTCGAACATCAGAACAATTAATCAAAAAGTCATCCATCCAAAGTCATACGTCAATGAAATTACTAAATTTGGCAAACGACACAAATGCAAACATTGGGACAAGGCCAACTCCATAACCAACATTCATATGATCGATAGTTCGTCCAACATT